GAAAGAAAAAATTAAAAAAAGAAAAGAAAAAAGTATGAAAAAAAAAGAATTGAGAAAAAAAAAAAAGGCCAAAAGGTGCGAGATACCGGCTACCTACCTACCTACCTATGATACCTATTGTTTCGCCCGCCTGCTATAAGGGAGGGAAAAAAAAGGGGGAATCAATCAATCAATCATCTTGAAGTTTGCGACGACGAGTACTCAGCTGTATGACTGTCCTACTGTACTTTTACTACTGTCAATTTTTATTAAGTATCATTATTATTAAGTTCATTATTATTAGGTATTATTACTACTAGGTATCATTAGGTATTAAGTATTATGATTATTATGATTAGGTATTATTATTACTATCATTATTGTTGTTATTAAAAAAATGCTTGCTTGCTTCCTTACAGCGAGTAAGGGTCGAACCTCGCGAGCTTGGTGGATGGATGGATGGATGGATCGCTTTCTCTTCTGATGAATACAAGAATACAAGAATACAAGAGGAGGATAGGCAGAGAGGGAGGGGCAGAGAGGCAGAGAATCAGAGAATCAGAGAATCAGAGAATCAGAGAATCTAAGAATACAAGAATACAAGAATACAAGAATACAAGAATACAAGAATACAAGAATACAAGAATACAAGAATACAAGAATACAAGAATACAAGAATACAAGAATACAAGAATACAAGAATACAAGAATACAAGAATACAAGAATACAAGAATACAAGAATACAAGAATCAGAGAGGAAGAAAAGAGGACACACACAGTATTACCATAGCACTACGCTTTCGCTTTACTTATCAACCAACTGAGCTGAGCGATCGTTAGCCATCATAGTAGATACTACTACTGTATTGTACTACATTACACTGCCATGCTAGTAGCATATGGTACAGTAAGTAGTAGGAGCATGCAGTAAAGAATATATATGGTATAATATCTTATCGTTAGATAGGTAGTCTGGATGGTCCCTTTGGCGCTCACTCACTCACCCACTCAACCATGTCATTCATTCATCGACAAGATAGATGGATGCAACAAAGTTAGTTTCAGGTGGGGGAGCTTATCTATATTTCTATACACAATATATATACACACAATATATCCAAATCACATTCTCCACGTTATCATACAGCACATTCTTTGGTATTGTACACCCCCCCTAGATTACAAAGTTCACCGTCTTCCCCCTACTAACCACAATCGTCTTCTTCGCCTTCCTAATATCCATCGGCTTCGGCCCACCCCCCGTGAACTTCTCCCTCCCGTCCTTCGTCTGCAGAATCTGCTCCACGGTCCACGCCTCCAGCTCCCTGCCGGTCATGGCATCGTCCGCCCTCGGAATCATGACAACGGCGCGGACCTTGCCGTTGATTTGGACGGCGCATTTGTGCGTCGAGGGCGTAAGGAGCGCGTAGGTGCCGTCGACGGTTGGAAAGGCGTGTTTGAAGATGGAGCCTGGCGCAGGTTGGACCTGCAACCTTGTGATAGATGGTGATGGGCGGACAAGGGTCCAGCACTCTTCAGCAAATGCTGGAGCGATAGGCGCCATCATCTGCACCAGAGCTCTTGTGGCGTGCAGGGAGAGTAGGTAATCAGGTTGGCTGGTCTTTGCGTCTTGCGAATCTATACTTGTGTTATGGTAGTCCATGATGGTGTTAGTTAGGGCCATCAGATCCGAGACTACAGTGTTCAAAGCGTACGTCTTGCTATAAGACTCCGTCACAGAGGCGACGGTGAGCTGAACCGAGCGCCAGACTGCTTTGTCCTTACTGACTGCATCGGTCCACAGATTCCTAAGATTTTCAGCACTCTGGGCGGCCTCGCTGGGCGTTTTGGAAAGCCTAGAGTCCTTTGCGTAGTAGGAAGCTACTTCCTCGAGCCTGGCCGGGGCGAGATAATCCAGAGAGGCCACCCATTCCTTGGTCATCTGGCTACTCAAGCTATGGTTATTGTTGGGAGCTGATTCGGCTTTCATGAAATACGCCTTAGGGTTGAAATCGGGCCGTGCCAAGTCATTGGCGAACCACAATGCTGCATTGTTCTCGATGAAACCGTGCAGTTTGTGAAGCCACCGGGTAACACCAGCAATTTTCGCTTCATCCCATTCGAGGACCTCGCTGACGGGAGCCTGAAACAAGATGTGAGCTCTGGTGGCATCCGCACCGTATTTGGCTATGCAGGTGCCAGGGTCGACACCGTTGTACTTCGATTTGGACATCTTTTCAAAGCTTACGTTGGCTATCTGGTTGCTGGCTATCACGCTCGGTTGCGATGGGTCGCTGAGGTTGACTTCGTCTGGCTTCAGGAATCGTCCGGTTGCTGGATCCGAGTAGGTCTTGCCGTGTACCATCCCTTGAGCCAAGACCGTTTTGAAGGGCTCTCCGAGATGCTCGACGCCTTCAGGCCAGAAAGGCGTCGTGGCCATAAACTTGGAGATGAACCTTGCATAGAGGAGATGCAGGATAGCATGCTCAACACCTCCGACGTACAAATCCACAGGGAGGTTGGCATCTGCTGCCTCCGGCGAGAACAGGGAGTCCGAATTATGAGCATCTGGAAATCTCATAAAGTACCAGCTGGAATCGACAAAGGTATCCATGGTATCTGTATCTCTCTTCGCAGCAGCACCGCATCCTGGACAAGTCGTGTTGACCCACTCATGGGCATGCTCTAATGGATTGCCGGTCTCGCCGGCTTCCCAATGGCTACTCACAGGTGGGAGCTCGACAGGGAGCTGGTCATCAGGAACAGGAACTGGACCGCAAGTATCACAATGGATTATTGGGATTGGCGTGCCCCAATATCGTTGACGGCTGACCAACCAGTCTCTCAGGCGCCAAGTCTCTGCAGCCGAGCCTAGTCCTTTAGACGCAACGAGAGCTACAATCTTGTCCGTCGCTGCAGCAGAGCTGAGGCCAGCAAACGGCCCGGAAAGGTTTGTGAGATGGCCATGGTTGACAAATGGCACTGTCTGCAAAACACTGCATGTGTCCCCAGGGGACTGGGCGACGACAAATCGAATTGGATCGTCGTAGCGGTTATGCTTCCAAAATGAGTGATCACGGGTATCGTGCCCAGGCACTCCCATCACAGCACCGTCACCGTAATCTCCCAGCACATACGGCGCAACGTATATCGGCAGAGAAGCCTTCGTTGCGTCCGGGGTAGAGTCTTCATAGGACAGCGGATTCAGTGCATGTACATGGGGCAGTAGGTAGCCAACCTTGGAGTCTTGTGGTAGCGCCGGAATCGTATTCAGGAAAGCTTGTAACTCAGCGTCCGTGTTCGCCAGAGACTGAACAAGTGGATGCGTTGAGGCCAGGGCCACGTATTGCACGCCAAACAGAGTATCCGGTCTCGTAGTAAAGACCTCGATATCCGAATGCGTCTGTTGATCATAGGCGACGACCGGGAACTTAATCCGAGCCCCCGTAGACTTACCAATCCAATTCTTCTGCATCGCCAGAACCCTCTCTGGCCACTTGCCCTGCAGCTTCGTGAGTCCGTCGAGGAGCTCTTGGCGAAATGCGGATATCTTGAAAAACCATTGCTTCAGCATCTTTTTCTCAACCTTGGCTCCGGACCTCCAAGAATGACCCTTCGCGTCGACTTGTTCATTCGCCAAGACGGTCTTATCTACGGGGTCGTAGTTCACCAATGCTTCGGACTGGTATGCAAGGCCAGCTTTGTGCAGCATGAGGAAGAGTTGCTGAGTATGCTTGTAGAACTTGGGATCGCACGTAGCAAATTCCTAGAAAGTCAGCCGTGGGCTCTTTGCGACATACGCCTACGTACACGATTCCAATCCCAAGCTCCGTTCATAGCTTCCAGCTGAGTCTTCATCTTCTGGATGTTCTGCTGCGTCCATGTTGCAGGGTCAACACCCCTCGCGATTGCTGCATTTTCTGCTGGCAATCCGAATGCGTCCCAGCCGATGGGATGAAGCACCTCATAGCCTTGCATGCGTCGGAACCTTGCCAGAACATCGGAAATGGTATACACTCGGAGATGGCCAAGATGGAGGTCTCCAGACGGGTAAGGAAACATGGGAAGTATGTATTTGCCTGGAACCGCTTTTCCCTCATTCGTGCGGACTGCATGTTCGAGCTGCTCGGTCGAACTCTCGACCCGCCAGCGGAGCTTCCACTTCTGATCCAGGCCGGGAAGGTCGAGTGGTGCCTTGTGCTTGGGCTTGGGTTTAGAGCCAGAATGTCGTGTGAGCAGACGGCTGCCACGCGAAGCCCTTTGGTATCCCAGGCGGAGGACTGGCCGTCCTGCATGTTTGCCGATGAGGCTGTACATTGTAGCCTGCGGGCATCCTGCTATGGGAGCACGCTTATGTTCACGGCGTGGTGGAGAGTAGCTTCGTTGTGGTCCTCTGTTGTTGACATCGGCGCGAGAGCTGGAATTGTGAATTGGGATGGGCCGGGTCCGAGCTTAGGGCGACAAGCTCTGCCAAGATTCATCGAAGCGGCAGACAAAGCCCTGTCCGGAGCCAATTCCTCTCCTGCGAAACATTTCCAAGCCTCCATTGTCGCTGTTGTCTCTTCTCCCTTTCTCTCCGAATTCCCGTTCTTCGAGGACATATTGTTAGACTCCGAATTCAGAGACGACTCTGTTGCGCCTTGGCCTCTCCTTCACGACCTCACGACCTTATGATCGATATGATCGATATGATCCAGATCCAGTTCCAGTTCCAGACCCAGATCCAGAAACTATAGTAGTACAAACAGCCCAGAGCACCCGACCCATCTCGTCCCACAGAGCATGACCGCGTGAAAAACGAGATACCATGTCCCGATTCCATTCCAACCTCCAACCGCATGCGCGCGACTCCCTGGAGTTGGCCAGCCTGGCCTCGAGCTCCCCTGGCCCCAGGACCTCCTCCTCCTCGACATCTTCTCGATCCGGCATCTCATCCTCGCGAAAACAGTCTCTAGAAGCAGACGATCCTCTTGACTCGCGGAACCCAGCTGCGAATACGAGGGGCAATCGTTCGTTCTCAAACACTTCTGTCTTTGACTTCACCTCGAATCTCTACCCCTTATCTTCTACGGCCGGAAATGGCTATGCGCCGATCGGAGCTCCTATATCATCCTCGAACGGACAGAACGCGCTAGGGGGCGGATCGTTGGAGAAGCACAAGACGTTGACATATCTGAACGGCCTGTCCTTGATCGTAGGATTGATCATTGGCTCGGGAATCTTCTCGTCGCCGAGTCAAGTCAATATCAATGCGGGATCGCCAGGGGCGTCACTCCTCGTGTGGACTATTGCTGGAGTACTGGCTTGGACGGGGGCGTCAAGTTATGCGGAACTAGGAGGGGCTATACCCTTGAATGGAGGAGCGCAAGTGTACCTGTCAAAGATCTTTGGAGAGCTGCTCGGCTTCTTGTTCACATGGTGTGCAGTAGTGGTCTTGAAGCCGGGCTCGAGTGCCATCATATCCATTATTATGGGCGAATACCTGGTCCGGGCAGCTATCGGAGCAGAGGCTGAGAACGTGAGCTCTTGGATCAACAAAAGCATGGCCTTGGCTGGCTTGTTCATCGTCACGTTGCTAAACTGCGTGTCCACGAAGATCGGCACCAAGATGGGGGACTACTTGATGTTTTTCAAGTTCGTGGCGTTGCTAGGAGTCACAATAATTGGTGTCGTGGTCGCCCTGACGGGCTTCTCCTTCTCGGGGACTGCGAATCAAGATTGGAAAGACAAAGGGTGGTTTGATGGGACGAGCAAGAGCACCAGTTCCTGGGCAGTAGCCCTCTACGCCGGTCTCTGGGCATTTGACGGATGGGACAACGTGAGTATAATTCTCAAACCAGGCAAACTCTGCTAATTTTCCAGACCAACTACGTCGTAGGAGAATTCCGCAATCCTACGAGAGACTTACCCCGCGTAATCCACACCGCAATGCCCCTTGTAATCCTCTCCTACCTCCTCGCCAATGTCGCTTACATCTTCGTGCTCCCCTTAAACACGATCAATCACTCCAACACCGTTGCCGTGATGTTCGGTGGCAAAGTCTTTGGCCCCATCGGCTCCCTCATTTTCGCCTTAATAGTTTCGGCCTCCTGCTTTGGCTCTCTGAACGCCGGGACTTTCACATCCGGTCGTCTCGTCTACGCAGCTGGAAAAGAAGGACTCCTGCCCGCCGTCTTTGGCAAGATTGGCGTAGGGGACAGCGATGAGCCCAACATCAATACTCTCCGAACGCGGAACTGGTTCTCAAAAACCCTAGCCCGCCTGGTCGGGGACGATGAAACAGGCCTCTTCTTCACACCCGTCAACGCCTTGATCCTCAATGCGGCCCTGACGTCCTTCTACATCCTCGTCGGCGAGTTCGGCACCCTCGTGACGTTTTACGGCGTCGCAGGCTACACCTTCTACTTCTTCACCGTCCTCGGGCTCATCATCCTCCGGGTGCGCGAACCGAATCTAGAGAGGCCGTACAAGACGTGGATCACCACCCCCATCATCTTCTGCTGCGTGAGCCTCTTCCTGCTGAGCAGGGCTGTGTTCGCGGAGCCGCTACAGACGCTCATCGTGCTGCTATTCATCGTGGCCGGCGTGCCGATCTACTACTGGAGGATCCGAGGACGGGACCAGGGCCTGAAGCGCGAGAGAGGGGACGAGGATTTCGGGTGGAAGTTCTGGAGACGCTGGCAGCAGCGGTAGCGGTAGCGGTAGCGGTAGCCCAATCTGCTTGCTAGTTGTCGAAAGTTGGTTTTCTAGTCTCATCGGCCACTTAGAGAATCGCCAGAATTGAATAGAAAATATTTCAGCGATGGTCCCTCCTCCAAAGGCGTTTTTGTTTGCTGTGGTTCCCGCTACCTCGCTACCTCGCTAACCCCTTTCCTTTTCAAAAATTCCTCGGCTATCGTACTGCGTCTCCTTTCCACATCTCGGCTATCTATCTTTCTTCTCGGCTATCTTGCGCCTTTCGCCCCCTTGAAGTCCTTTGGTATGATGAGTAGATCCTGAAAAAACCCTGTAGCGCTAACTACTACGCACGATTTAATCCCAGGAAGGGCCGTGGCGTCTATTTATGCCATCTGTCTGTCTGTCTGCTGCTGCTGCTTGTCTATTCTTTGTAAGAATCAAGAAGCATGGGCGTTAAATGGGTAGATAATTTGCCTTTGATATCCGAGCATATATCAAAGCAGATCGTATCCTACGGGACAGCCCAGCTATAAGAAATGCCATCACTGATAGGCTTCGATAAAAATGGGGTATCTTTTGGGATTAGATAGATTATTTATCCACTTCCGTGCAATATTCTGTTTTCTCCACCCTTCCGCCCGCCAAATTCAGACTTTGTATTTCGTTCTCGTTCGTCCATAGCATGGATTCATTTCCCGGTCCTAAGCGCCATCGCAATGCTATCATTCTCCCAGGTTAGAAAAAAATATCACCATATCCATACTCTCGTGTCACCGCATCGGGATCTCCCAAGCGGCGTCCTCTTCGTCCTCACTCTCGAGCTGGTCTTCCTCGTCGTTCCTAGCCATCTCCACGAAAATCTGTACCCAAGCCAGGTCAGCCGCTCGATCAGCTTCTTCTCTTCGTTCCGCGGCCTGATTGCCTCGTCTTCGTGCCGCTTGTGCACCCCGAGCTCCGGCGTTGACTCGTTGCTGATTCTGGTTGACTGGTGCACGCTGTGCATGGCGCTGAGGTCCACGACGGAAGTTGGCCGCTGGGGGAGCCTCTGGAGCCGGTGGGGGAGGTGGAGGAGGGACGTGGTTGATACGCAGGACAAGAGGACCTTCGCGTTGAAGCGGCTCCAGTGGCACGGCTTCTTCAACCGGCTCCACGATCTCGGGGACTGGATGGACTTCTTCAATGCCCATCATTTCGACAGCAGCCTCTACCTCGTCGTTTTCTTCATGTTCCACTGGTCGGGCGCCGCCACCGTATCCAATTCCTACATCATCGCCATCGCCTTCCTCGAGCTCCCATAGTCGGTAGTAACAGGGAGATGAGATGTTGTTGTAGTGGTTGTACGGATTCGCAGGTGGGAGCCAAGCCGAGCAGAGATAGCAGAAATGGCTGTGGCACTTGAAGCAAATCATGTGATTGCAACCATGCGTCTTCTGGGCCGGTGATGCACAAGTCGGGCAGGGAGTGGAGTGTAATTTCAAGTATTCCAGGGAGGCCTTGTCTTCTTCTGTAAGCTCGCCGGTGTCTAGTCTCGGTGTGCAAATGGTCAGCTCGCCGTGCCAGCCCTGGAAGCATCGATTGCAAAACGCGAAAGAACAGTCTTCGCAAATGCATAGACGATCCTTCACAGCAGCCAGACTCGTGCCTTCCTCGGCGTCAGATTCGTCTCCGCTCTCGGTATCCTCAAACCCAACTGGCTTGCGGTGCTTCTTTGATCGCGCAGCTCCCTGACACCATTTTCTCGGGCAGTAAACTGTATTCTTATCCGACTCGAGCTCTGCTTTGTGCTTTAACGTAACGTAGCGGCGCACGACATCGGGCTCGAGGGGGATCTGGATCAGTTCGCTGGGCGTAAGTTGAGTTTTTGGCTTCCGTCGACCACTCGTAGTTTGCGCCTCCCCACGCTTCTTTGCACATCCTGGAGCCAGGCACTGGACCGCAGCCAAGTTACCCTCGGTGATAGCATTATCGTAGAAGTCCTGTAGACACTCCACGCAAAAGACATGGCCGCAGTCGATCATTCTGTGGCAAACGGTGCCTTTCTTGGGATCTGATAGAAGTTAGTAGGGCCCAAAATCTTCGACACAGAGAGTGCATACCTAGACAGACGCCACAATCGAATGTCTCCTTTTCGAAAGCGGCTTGTGTGGCTTTGATGTCGTAGTCCAGCAGAGATATCTTGAGATCTTGAGCGACTTTCAAGTTGCCACCCTCTTCCGCAAACCCAAAAGCATTCTCAGCCTCTTGTTGCAGAAAGTCAATGTATCCGTAAACCACAGAGCTGCGACCAAATTCCTCCCACAACTCCGTGCCCTTCTCCTGTAGTACGTCGAGGTGCTTGCGAGAGAGCCAGGCAGGGGAGGTCGAGAGCTCGAACTTGGGCGCCACTTTCTCGGGGTAGTCTTCCGGCAGAGTGATACGAAGCTGTAGAGCTGGTAGGTAAGATAGATTGTGTGACTCCACGTTCTTCGCCGGTCTCTCTCCCATAGACACCGCAGACACAACTTCTTGATCAGAGTTGGTCGACAGTGGCGGGGTAGGCAGGAGACCGTCGGAGGACGCAGGGAAAAGGACCTTGACTGGCGCAGTTGGATGTACTGGTAAGGATAGAGACACGCAGAAAGGGTTTTGGGGATCCACGAGGAGTTCAGGGTAGATGGCTGCTATGCAGTCCAGTTCTTCCTGACGTTCATCCTCCGTGGTAGACATCTGGTCACCGGTCGATCCTGGACAGCGGAACAAATGTCGAAGCGGCTACGACGGGGTTCATAAGTAATGATGCTGGGGAAAGTAATTGTTTGGGAACTTGGGAGACGGCGGGAGTGGCGAACGAAGTTTGGGAATCATGTCGCGGGGTGAAGTTGCGGGATCCCTAGAATAAATTTGAGCTCGAGCCGCTTTGCCCAGCCTCAAGCTATGGAACGGCTACTTATGCAGAACTTGATGCACTTGTCCATAGCTCAATATAATACTTACAGATCTCTCTCTTCATTCAACGTTTACACTTGCATCGCCGCAACCGTGGAAGAGTTGCGCCTTTAAATAGACCGCACGCATTTCTGCTTGAACCACCGCAGAGGTCAATCTGCAAGAAGGTGAAATTTGTGTATAGCCTCATCTCCTTACGTCCGGCCTATGAATTATGACGGACCAAGCCCCTCTTGCGTCTCTCTCCTTGACGCATGTTTACTATGTAAGGAAGGGAGCCATCCCAGCTTCGCGAGCTCCGCTGACTCAACAGGATCCGCACGATCCCATCTCCTACTTCTGCGCATGGCTGGCCCTTGTTCCCCAGGGACTCTGCATCGTCTACGCGACCCTGATCTGGTCAACCCGAGAAATCGAGATCCTCATGATGTTCGGCGGCCAAATTGCCTGCGAAGCTCTGAACTTTGGTCTGAAGAGGACACTGAAAGAGGCGAGACCGAAACAGATGCATGGGAAGGGGTACGGGATGCCGTCCTCGCATGCCCAGTTCGTGGCTTTCTTCTCGCTAAGCTTGGCACTCTTCCTCCTGGTCCGACATGTCCCGAAGAAGCCAACACCTTCGCATACACCACTAAGTATGGCTTCAAGGGTTACGCTGTCTGGTCTGGCATTCGCAAATGCAGGATTGGTTTCGTGGAGCAGGATCTACCTGAACTACCATACGCCGAAGCAAGTGATTGTTGGATACTTGGCCGGCTTGGCTAGTGCCCTGTTGTGGTTCATCGTCACGACCGTCGTGAGACAGACTGGGCTGCTGGGTTGGATATTGAACCAATACCCCACGAGACTATTCAGGATGAGAGATTTGGTGGTCGAGGAGGATCTTTGCCAAGCTGGGTGGGAGAAATGGGAGCAAAAGGGGATATCGAGGCAAGATATCAAGGGGGAGAAGCTGAAGTGAAGTGGAAAATTGATACCAGACCTTAGAATGCTGACCAAAAAAAGCTCTTAACAGCTCTATTGTTCTGGGTAGATTGGCAGGTATTGCACATTTTTGATCTTGAATGTGTCTCGACAATGATATACTGCCGCATTCTCAATCTCTCGATTCTGCTGTAAAGGACCGTCCCGGACGGATCATCAGGCCACGGACTTCTAAGTGGTCACTGCATGTATTTGGTAATACATGCTTGTTTAAAGTCTGTGATGATTTGCGAACATTGTAAGGGAACTCCTCGGATTCTATCACGTCCCAAAGGTCATCGCCTCATTGAGTATCAGAGACCAGCTAACGAGGGCAATCCGTATGTTGATATGGAGTTGTCATCCTACGCTCCAGAGACTCCATCGCTTCTTAAATCTGCTCCGGCGATAAAGTCAGCCCACTTGCCTCTTTGCTGTTGTTAGAGAACTGGGAGGGGTCCTTGCTTATCGACTTGTAGATCTCGACAGTGAATACTAGATAATCTTCTTCTGTTTCAAAAAGGGTATTCAGCTCGCTTTATTCCCGGTGGAATCTCCACCGGAGCCTGGGAAGCTTGGGCGGAGGCTACGATTCCACAGTCTTCAACCGAGAGTCTCTGGCTTCATGTTTATACCGACTTAAGCATTATCAAAGATGACGTAAAGCTTAAGGTAGCAGCATCGATTGGCAAGCGTCCGCCAAAAGACTTTGCCGGTATTGCGGCAGCGGATATCGTTGCCGAGGTAAGCGAACCCCTTTTTCTCACTACACAGAGCTAACGGCGAAGGCTATAGGTACTGAACCACGCCTGTAGCATAAGAAAGACAGCGAGGTTTGGAGAATATGTAAACTCGAGAACCTATCCATGTTTTTCGACTGCTGCGATTGCTCTGGAGTCTTTTGGGTCGCAATCTAGCATCGTGGAGCTCTCTTCCATTTTTCTATACGACAATGTACCTTTCATGCACGAGCTAATAAACAGTCTTTTCGCAATGTCTCGGTTTATAGACCTTTGAGTGCGATCATGAATACGCACAATAGCATATAAGAAAAGAAAAGAAAAGAAAAGAAAAGAAAAGAAAAGAAAAGGATGAGAACATACCCAAAGACCAAGGAAATGGTCAAGTTTTTTTTTTTCGTGTTCCCCGCCTAGAATGAGATGGATGGGATCAGAGGTCATTCTTTCTTTGCTCACGTTCGGGTTCACCGTCTATATTTGCGCGGGAAAACCAAGTTTCTATTCACGCTGGCAGGATGACATCTCGCATTCTCATCCCAATCATCACCAAAAAAAAAAAAACCTAGTCGTCCAATATTTCTACAAGCGCCCTCGTCACTGCGTATAATCGTCGGCTCGCTTAGGTGGGCCGGCCTTCTTACATCCTTTCAGCCTTAGTCGGCGTAAGCGATTGCGGGTCGGAAGCGACGAGAGCCGGCTCTTTCCATATCTGGAGGGGCCGATGATAAAAGTTCTATGCGATGGCCAGGACAGACAAGTTGGTGTTTAGACCACCCCCCAAATCAACCACACAAAGTTCGAACCAGTCTGTACAGACTATTTCGCTGCGACAATACAGATCCGTACAAACTATAGAATCGCCTCCAGAGGTTGTTTGATCATCGGCTTATGGGTTCGGTTGTGGATACCCCTTGCGCCGCTGTCGCCTGATGGATCCGCGACATCCGGCACGCCTGCTCACTCGACCCCGGGCTGGACAGGGCGAGTACGTAATGTAAGAATTAGTCAAAAGAGAATGATTCAGGATGAAGTTCCAAGCCTAGGATTTTAAGAATGCAGTTAATTTGAGCCCTGTAATAGATATTGATTGAGTATAGACTGATAAGCCGTGACCGTAAGCAGGCAAAATCTTGGCGTTCCCTGCGTAGGCCACTAATCTAATAGAAAAGAGACTCAAGAGGCTGAGTAGCATACGACAGACATGGTGAGGAGATCGGATGTATTTAGTCGGACGGGGGAAACAGAAGTGCGTCGTTGGAAGGGCAACGAGGTGCAGAGGGTAAAGGTTATCACACCCCGCTTCGCTAGTAGCGAGTCGGCTTGCAAGAGATTAAACCTCCAAATTATTATTGAAGAGCCGCGGACTGCGGGCTCTTACTTGAAACGCCGAAATAGTTTGCTGTCAGTAAAATCGAACGAGCTTTACGCAAGTGACGTGGGCAGGGGGGTCTGTCTAAGTGATAGAATCAGAAGTGCAAAAAGGTGGTAATTCTACCTAGTATACCTTATGTTCCAAGACTAAGCGATGTAGCCAACACGCCATCAAGTCCAAGAGAAGGGGAAAGCACATCTTTTCTTATACGCTTTCATCGCATATTCAAGTCCCTCAGCTCCCATTCAATTCAAAACAAGACTCGTTCAGATTCATAGCCGATCTGTCCATATAAACCAGGCAGAGAGATCTTCATCATCGTGCACGAGTGAAGTTGCAAATGCATACCGATTCCGAAAGCAGTCCCAGCAATTCTCAGCAAGCCGAGACATGCTTTACCCCGCAAGTAATTCCAGATCCGCTTTCCGGATCTCGGAGAAAGGGAGATGTTTCTCCTGCCCGTATCTCCGCAATCGATTACCAGCTGGCTGGTTGAAGAGGCAGCTTCGCTCGGACTACGCATATTGCAGAGAGGCTGTAGCGCCATCGCGCCTTGCGTTACTTGGCCGCCCGCTCGGTCCCGTAGCCAGATCAGATCAGATCGCGCGCGGGACCGGGATCTCCGCTGAAGAAGGGAACTAGTTGTACCTATTAGAGGCCAAGATTAGTTCCGCGGGGAACAATACTCCGTACTATCCCACCGTCTTTCCGACGAGTCGGGACAGAGAGGGCTAAAATCGTCCGTGCAGCGGATTCTCGATACAGCGTTGAGGGGGAATGAGCAACGGTTTCAATCCCGATTCAGAGCCCATTAAAAATATAGCTACGTTCGATATCTGATCGATTGTGAAAGATCCAAAGGCTTTGTGTGACGCACGCAGCTTGAAAACCATAAAGCGGAAATAGTGATATGATACTTCGTATTCTGTAATCCATCTGATCTAGCTTGCCATTCCCCTCGCGGACGGACTGATACGATTGGTCTAGATGTGGCTCTCGATGAGGAAGCCTTTAGACTTAGGTCGGTCTACCCGCGCGCTACTGCAGAGGCGAATCATTAAAGTATGGCTCGGATCGCAGCGTAGGCAGAGGAGGAGGCCCATTGTTATCTTTTAGCTGCAGGGATTTTTCACATCCGAGTGTTGATTTGCGAAGTCTAGATTTTCGGTTGGCGTTTTGATTTCTTTTGGCTGGACTTCCTCTGTCAGTTTGCCGTCGATAGTTCGTGGGGTAGGAGCATGATCTGAGCCAAGGGATATCGTGTGTAAGGGACCGTTCATCTTCGGTGACGATGGTTATTGTCATTAATGGGTGTACTAACATCCACTGGTCTTGGTACCAAGAGCAACAATGCGGCCACCAGGAAAGTATCTAAAGAGCACGAGTCTGCCTCCAAAAACGACATCGTTATGCAATTGATGCTCCGTGAATTACACTGTTCAAGATGAAGTCAACAACCTTTGCCTGTCTCATTGCTGCTGTCCAGTTTCAGCTCGGATATGCTTCGCCGACGCCTCCCGGGCGTGACCAGGACGAGAAACGGCAATTTAACGGCTTCGTCGCTTCTCTCACGAGTGGATTTGGTGTAACTGCTACTTATGACTATGTTGTCGTTGGTGGCGGAACTGCCGGTTTGGCCATGGCGGCTCGGCTCTCTGAGAACTCCGCTATCAGTGTCGCAGTCATTGAAGCCGGATCGCTTTACCAGGTAAACCACGTGTAAGCCATCACACAGATGAAGCTGATCTTTTTGATATAGGTCACAAACCCACTCCTGAGTTCCACACCAGCTGGAGACGTTTATTGGGCCGGTTCTAGCCCAACCGATACCAATCCGTTGGTCGACTGGAATTTCGTCACGGCACCACAAGCGGGCGCCCAGAACAGAAAGATCCATTACGCACGAGGAAAATGCCTCGGAGGCTCATCAGCCAGAAACTTCATGATATACCAGCGGGGCACCAAGGAATCGTACCAACAGTGGGCAGATGCGGTCGGCGACGACTCTTCCACCTTCGACAACCTCTTCCCCTATTTTCAGAAGAGCGTCAAATTTACACCTCCGGGACCGAGTCGTGCTGAGAATGCTTCTGCTGAGTACAACGCAGCCGCCTTTTCGTCGACAGGAGGGCCATTGGAGGTGTCATACGCGAATTATGCTGGACCATTTTCGAGCTATATCGAGGGTGCCCTCAACGAGATTGGGATGGCGGATGCGCCTGATTTCAACAGCGGCTCCTTGATGGGTGCTCAATATTGTTCTTCGACCATCAGCCCTTCTGCACAAGCTCGGGAATCGTCCCAGACTTCGTTCCTCGACGCCGCCAAGGACAGATCGAACCTCAAGGTGTATTCCGTAACCACTGCCCAGAAGATTCTCTTTGACAGCTCAAAGAAAGCGACCGGTGTCAGCGTCAAATCGAACGGAATCACATACACAATCAACGCCCGCAAGGAAGTCATCTTGTCGGCTGGAGCCTTCCAGAGCCCACAGCTGCTGATGCTTTCGGGTATCGGCCCAGCTGCAGCGCTGCAGAAATTCGGTATCAAAGTCCTCTCCAACCTCAGAGGCGTCGGACAAAACATGTGGGACCATGTGTTCTTTGGTCCAACCTTCCGAGTGAATGTTCAAACATTCACGAGGCTGGCAAATGATCCTCTGTACCTGCTATCCCAATTTGCTGGCGACTACGCCAAGAAGGTAGGGCCCTTGACGAACCCAGTCTGTGACTATCTCGGCTGGGAGAAGGTTCCCTCTGCTCTCAAGAACGGATTCTCTTCGGCAGCAAAATCAGATTTGGCGTCCTTCCCAGCAGACTGGCCGGAAATCGAGTATCTCTCAGCTCCGGGATACGTCGGCGACTTTTCATCCTTGCCAACGACGCAGCCGAAGGATGGATATCAGGTATGTTGAATTCTGACAAGTGCCTGCCTGATACCCGACTGACGTGACTAGTACGCAACGATCCTCGCGGCCATCGTCGCGCCCCTTTCTCGGGGAACCGTCACACTCGCGTCTGCCTCGGCCGACGACCTCCCTATCATCGACCCCAAGTGGCTCACCTCACCTACCGACCAAGCCGTCGCAATCGCCGCTTACAAGCGGGTCCGCGCCGCTTTCGCCTCTCAGGCCATGGCCCCCGTCCTGATCGGTGGCGAATACTTCCCCGGTCCAGACGTCAAGACCGATGCCCAGATCCTGAGCGCCATCCAAAAGACCGTGCAAACGGTCTGGCACGCCAGCTGCACCTGCAAGATGGGCAAGAAGGGCGATCCCGATGCCGTGGTTGATTCGCAGGCGAAGGTGTTTGGAGTGACTGGATTGCGGGTCGTGGATGCGAGTGCTTTCGCGCTGTTGCCGCCTGGACATCCACAGAGTACCGTGTACGCGCTTGCTGAAAAGATTGCGGCGAATATTCTTGCCGGGAAATAGTTGTAGCACCGGTTTGGTGTTGGTTTGCAGGTAGACTTAAAAGGTACCGTGGGGATGATTTCGATTCTTGTAAATAGTTTTAGAGATGGGATTTTGCTGGGCCGACGCCCCGTCGAGCTATGCCGACTCGCCAAGGCTGGAAAATGAGTTGTGAAAAGGAAGCTGTTTCAAAGTAGAAGAGAGGAGGTTATCGCGGGACGTACCACTTCTGTGTGTACACCGCCATCAAGATCAATGTCAGATTGATGTTTATATCTGCATACCTATATCAGTTCTTTGATATGCTCGACACTCGTCAACTTCAAGCTTTTCGTAAGACTGAAAGGATGAATGGAGACCTACCTACCTAAGCGAGCCGACGATTAAGCCAATTGAACTCCTGATCCGGCTGCAGCCCCCGGCGCAAAAATTTTGTAGGAAATATAAGGTCTCTTAGCGGTGGCTGTATCATCAATCACATCCGGAATGGTGTAGTGGCTAGCATTTCTGCCTCTCAACTGGCTCGTCCACAGGGTACGCAGGAGACCGGGGTTCAATTCCCCGTTCCGGAATCATCATAATTATACTCTTTTGCAATTTTTGTGTAATAATTTCTCGCAGCTTCTACATCAATCAGCCCTGCCACCAACACAGCGTTAGTGAAGCTTGCCTTGGTTTTTATTTTATGACAAGGAATCTTTGGTTTTCTGAACGTGGGACTGAAGCGAGAATTGAATCAGTGATTTGTTTTTGATACTTTTGGCGGATGTGAACGTATCTGCAATCGCTTGCGTCTTGCCTCTACGGAGTATTGTTTTTTACGGCGTACGTTTCACTCGATCCCTCTGCCGCTAGAGAAGGACCTGGACCAGCTAGCCTGAGAAGAAGTCATGCGAATGTGTAGCACCGAAATGATATTCTCTGGCTCGTGGTAAAATCATACAGAGATTAGAAGTTCGGAGAGGCGAGTTCTCGCCCTCTTCACGATTTCTCGTTTTCATTCTGAGGGTCCAACTCAGACTTGATTTGGTACCTGGGATATTTGTTAATCGTCGGGCCGAAAAACCAGTGTGGCTTGGCCTCTGTCATCTCATTGAGCTCCAACATATGCCCGAGATCACGTGGTGTGCTCTTATCATACGCGTGGAGCTTTTATCGCCTGCAACGCGGTAGCTCCAGCTCAGCGACAGCGACAGCGAGGCTTTGCTTCAGCCTTCACAAAACCATGACTTATGCTGCCCGAGAACCCTTGCTGATTTCATCTAGGTGCCTGCAGTTGATGAACTACGATTGAAGAAGCCAGGAGCCAGGAGCCAGAAACCAGAAGCCAGCCAGTCTTTACATGATCAGCTTCCGCCATGGTTTCCCTCTGGTCTGGGAAGACCCCGTCAGACACGCCAACAACCAAAGACGTCCCGGATGTTGCAGACACTGGCCTTGCAGATATCGGTTTGCCAGCTCCTCCCCAAACTACACCGCTTCCTGTAGGACGCCCTCAGCTCCAGCGGAACCAACCTGCGCCGCCGCCGCCGCACCAACCTCCGCCACCTCCATCTCCGAATGCAAACGACTCTCTCTCATTGATGCAGCTGCGGCGCATTGTGTCCGAGTTCCCCAAGGCTGATCCCAACCCTTATGCATTCACATACACCGATACGGCGAGTTTCGAGGAAGAGGTAGACGAGTGGTTCTCGTACAACGATGCGGAATACACCCGACTGCAAAAAGCGAGGGATACGTTTGAGAGGAGGTGGAATAAGGTATCGGCTACGCCGTGGTCGGGGTCTGGAGACCGCTTAAAGTTCGTTGAGCGTGAAGTAAATGGTCTACATGCGACTGATCTGCGGAGGCGCTGCAAGAGCCTGCAGACAATCCTACACATCATCCTGGGAGTCTGGGACGAGAGCGCTGGTATCAAGTCAGATGAGGCTACGAATACCAAGACGAAAGCCACCCCCAAACATCTGGAACAGATGAAGAATGGACTATCTCTAGTCGCAGAAGCTGGCGGCATCTCGTCGAGCTTTCAAGTCTTGCAGAACGCATTCAATATGCTCTGGTAAGATGCTTGCTAAAATTATACAAATTTTGTTGACGTACTCTGACGTACTAGGGACGATGAATTCCGGGAGACGAAGGTGTTCGGAGAGGATATAGACTATGTTCAGGACGAGATCGATAATGTGACCACGGTCATGTACTTGATCATAGAAGGAATTCGCAATGATCCAATTGGCTTAGCATCTGCTCGAGAGAAGCTTTGTGTGTTGATGTACCCAGCTGCCAAGACCATACTGACTCGCATAGTGGAATTAAACGTGGTAAATTATTTCATCAGGATGACGGCCAGAATTCGATGGACTGACTGCAATGACCCTCCACAAACAAGAGTGGGTCCCTAGACTTCCTACCCTTCGGAAGCAGACGTTGCTAACATCTTCAGATTTTTCTTCTGTTCTGGAAGTCGTTGTTAGTTGTTTTTGGTGGCACATCCGAGATTGAGCATGTCAAAGACGCTACCAGCGAGCTGAGACATGTCAATGGCGACGGTGGCAAGCTCATCACTGCATCACCCTTAGATTACCATATTTTCCGTCAGGAAATCACCTCCAAATACCCCGCTTATACTCCGCCTCCACCTCTTCTACCTCTTGAGCCCGATAATAACTCTATCCTTCCGCCACTTCCAAACAGACCCAGCAGAGCGAATGGATCTAACGGAATCATACCTCCACCGATGAATGTAAACAGTAGTGGAGCCTCGATCCTTCATCAACCTGTACATATAGCCACTCCCGCACCATCGCCCCCTCCATCCCCTCCTGTCGGAGGCAAGGCCGGTAAGAAGCAGAATTACCAGACCAACCAGAACTTTCCGTTCATGTACCCACCCTTGGACAGCACTAGTAGTACCGCTGGAGGATCGGGTGCGGCTGGCTTGCAAGGACAGCTCGTTGGGCGAAAATGGGAGGGAAGCGATATACCCAAGTCGATTCTTGAAGCTGGAGACCTGTTCGCAAAACGGATGCGTATGACAAGGGCCATGCGACAGCTGTGGGACGAGCGAGAGAGATACCTGAAGTTTGAGCGAGGCTGGGACGCGAATGATGATGACATTGAAGAGCTTGATCTGGATACCATCCTGTCCCAGAAGCTTTCACTTCAAAAAACCAAACCCATCAAGCCTGAAGTCGATTACGGCCCTAACTGCGATGTTGGCGAGGATGCAAAGAAGAAACTTGATATGGTGGAGCAGTTATATGTAGGTTGTCTAGTCCAGTTCCTTTCATCGTGCTAAACATATTGCAGCAAGATTCGTTGCCCTATCTGCAGTCATTAGTGATAGTGACGCTAAAGGCTGTCCTGTGGAATGTGACAGCACTCATAAGCCAACCTGCGGGACAGCAGCAAGGTCAAGCACCTTCATTCCGAGCCGACGGAGACCAGCGTGGCAACGGACCGCAAGGGCCGAACCGGCAGCAAGATCCAGCAAGTATTCCACTCCCAAACACCGTCGATGTTTCCGAGCTGCCGATTGAAGAGGTCGAGGCGATGCGATCAGGAGAAATTACAGCAAAAGCTGTGTCTGGAATCCTGCTCATTTTGTTGAAATGGTTCAAGGTTTCACGTATGCTTCCCGTTTTCTTGCATTGTTTGGGTGCTGATATATGCAGATATCTTGAAATTTGAGTATCTCACTCAGCTTTTACTGGACTCGAATTATCTCCCCTTGGTGCTTAAGCTCTTCGCTCACCAGGACATCGAGAAGGTAGTTGACATCAGAACAGATCGCGATGAGATGAGGTAAGTTATATCACCTACTTTGAGTATCTCAATGCTTAGAAATATCAGCTTTTTCGCTTTCTGCAACGCCCACAGCAAAAATGCCCCTGTCGAGTCCGATCTCATGGGCCTCGAAGCCTCTGAAGGAAGCGAAGACGATGCCGTACCCCCTGATATCAAGCTTAGCCGCGAGCACACCGCGGGTGCCGAGGATAAACTTCCTGCTCTTGCATTCCAAGAAGGTCAGCACGCCGCCAAACGCGAGCCGCTCGAGAATTGCGAGCTGGGTTACCCACCAACCGAGCCACCATACTCTCAAGAACCCATCACCGACTTCTCGTGGCGCAACTTTTACTCGTCAATCAACTTCCTACGCATCATGCAGAAAATCTGCAAGGATAAGACGCACCGTAATTTACTGCTCGTGCAGTACAAGTCATCGAACATTATGAAGAAATTGCTCAAGGTCCCGCAGCCCGAACTCAGACTGTACACCCTGAAACTTTTCAAGAACCAAGTCCCGTACTGTGGGCGAAGATGGAGACAAGGTAACATGCGCGTAATCACCGCCGTATACCTTCACTGCCGCCCGGAACTGCGAGATGATTGGCTGGCTGGTAGTGATGTCGATGCGGAGGTTGAAGAGGCGCTGCCGCTGGAGCAGGCACTACGTGCGCTGACACATTGGCATAATATCAAGAGGTACCCGGGGCAGATGGGCGCGGACACCAAGCTGCTCGAGGAGGAACACGATTTCTTCGTAAGGGAGCTCGAGAGGATGGAGTTTATCGAGGAATGTTACGAAGGGGAGGGTGTGGCGGATAATGCCTATGACGGAGTTAGTAACGCGTGGTAGTCAATCACACTCTACAGTACCTGCCTAGGTAGCATGTTTAGTAAGTAAGGCTACAATAATGGAATCTCTACCTACGAAAGTCCGATCACAGTGAGAGAGATATGCTATCGGTGACTTCAGGGGAATATTTCACCTATATCAGCATGGGTTGCTTGCTACACCGCCCGCTGTATGATCAATTACTGACTGTCTGTCTGTCACACCCGGCAACCAAAGCTCACACGATATAGTACTGATGTTTATCAGCTACTGCGTTTCGTTTGTTATGAAAAGTCGCTGCTCTTCTCATCGGGATTTTGAAAAAGGAGCTTTGCAAGCCTGGTGATTGGTTGTGCGTCTAGGCATCTATCTATATCTCTAGATTCACGCTAGAAAGAAGAGATTCGGAAGGTTGGTGTGGATTTTCTTTTGGTGTTTTGATGTTGATTTTTGATTTGGTGCATTTTGAGGCCTTTTTATAAAGGGGGGCTCTTGTGTTTACAAAGGTATACGGATACTTGCTCAAGCCCTCTGGACGCCAGCAACTTGGGCTGGAGTACGGGGTGCCATTGCCGAGGACATCGGGGATACCGAAAGAGGAAGGCACGTTATGGTCGCGGGTGGATGGATTCTCATCAGCCGCTCGCGCGCATCTAGCGCCCGCCGGCCCATCGCTGACTCTTTCTTTACTCGTGCTCTCCCGGACCCCAGAATATCAGAACATCAGAACATCAGAACATCTTTGGCAAGAATACTTAGTGGCAAACATCAACACTTCTAGCATGTCAGAACCAGCGGAAGAGCGGAGTCGGCTTACGCCCGAAAAGATGAAGTTGGACGAGCTTCGACGCCAGAGACTCGAAGTGAGTCTTGCCTTCCCAGTGCGATACTCAAAATATTTTATATTATATATATATATACAAAAAAAAAAGGAAAACATAGCGACTAACATGTCAAGGCGAGCATCCTCTTATCCAAGCTCGATATGGAGATTTACAACCTCGAGCACGCCGACAAGAACCTCGAGACGTTTCAGTCGGAGCTCCCCGACTGCGACCAGTCACTCTTTCCTCAACCCCTGATCAAGCTGAACTCGTTTACTTATTTCTCGCAACTTATCCCTGAGCTCCGGCAGATGGTCTGGGAGGAAGCCATGCCCGGCCGCCGAATCATTGATTACAGGCCCCGGCCAAAACATAAGCGTGCGAAGAAGTGGTATCGTCGGAGACATGACTTGAATATACCCATCATATTCCATATCAACTCGGAGAGTAGAGATGTGGCTAAAAGGCACTACGTCAATCGTAGAACAGTGGAACCTTGGAAAGCGGATCGAACGGAGATCTTTATGAATCCCACCGTAGACCAAATTTGCATCGGCCATATGCAGCTGTTCTACGGCAAACCCGCCCCCCACCAAGCTCCCAGATTCCAAGCCTCGCCTTTGACCGACGCCATCTCGTCTCTCGAAGTACGAGATATCGGTCGGAGGGAGGTCAGTTGGAGTCTGTTCTTAAACACCACTATGCTGGCCGCCAATCCCACCCTCCGTGCCTTCCGCGGACTCAGACACCTGCACCTTATCGCGAGCAAAGGTTTCGACTTCAGCGATGAACGTCTCCAAACGCAGGATTTCGTCAGACTCGTCCTGGTGCTCGTCAATCGCTCCGCTGCCGCACGAAAGTCGCCTGTGGACCCCGAGATCATCCTCCACGACTGGCGCCCTTGCAAGCCACGCTCTGACCACGACCATCTCCACGAGGCCGCGATTCCGTACCCGTGGAACGGCCGGCTACCCAAGGCTCTGGAAAACGCTGGTGGAGAGCCCATCCACAGCACAGCTTCGTGAGGAGGGCAGGTGTGCGGTCGGTGAGATTGGGCTGGAGGGAAATGATTGCGGAAAGGGGCTGGCGGAAGGAAAGTGTCATGGGAGAGGGCTCTAAGGCAAGCATCACGTTGAAGAGTATATCTGCATATGGTAGGTATCTCTCGTCACATCAGGCTAGGGATCCGCACCAGCCAGCGCTTGTAATCACACATACAAACTTTCCGTACTCTAGCAGCAGTGTTTAGGAAAGCAGGACGTCGTTAAGAAATATCTTGTGAACCCCTTCAAACTTATGCCTCAGATTGGTTGCTGACTCTTTGCCGCAAAGGCATGGCCGTTAGTGGAGCTAGAGACATCACAACTATCACTATACCCACACCGGCTCTGGCCCTTCTTAGACCGAATGACTTATAGTAGCCACGTCTGCTATCGCAGATCCTAAGAATTTGGCTATCTCGGTTGCTTCTTTTGTCCGATCGACTGTTTCGTCTATCTACACTTTCCTCAACTCTACGTCTTCCGCGAGCTCAACGGCTTACCCAACGGCATCCTCATCATCCAGCTCCCTCTTCTTAACGCAACCGCAAACTCTACCAAGGTCAGACCAACGGCCTACTCGCTATCCAGCTCTTTCGGCTGCTCAACCACAACGTCAATTAGGTCAGTATCTATCTACCCTTATACATCTCGACGCCTTGGACTCGGCATCACGTTCTGGCAGCCGCCCTTCTATTCCATTCCCACTCACTGCTCGTCTGAAAGAGTGTGAGGCAGCGGAGAAGAACATGAATGAAGCATGATTGAGTATCATCTCGCCTTTCCCTCTGCGCATACCGTGAACGGGTATTTCAGTACCATGATAGATTGATTACGCAGAGTACGTACGATCGCGTCGTCACAAGTGGTGCACAGTTCATATGAGAACACAGCACTTCCATGCACACGGAAACATTTATCTCTTATTTTGTTCCTCAGGTGCAAACTATATTACAGTGCATGTTTTACTGCAAGAGCAACCAAATCACAGTGCATGTTCTTCTGCGAGAGCAGTACCGTTCCCGCCTGAGAGCATCCTACTGCGCAACGGCACGTCGACCGGGAAACCACGAGTCAATCTCACGCTGGACGAGGACGCTCCGAGATAGGATCTCAGCATGCTGCCCGCTCCACGGGTACGGGATAGCCTCCTCGTACAGGTTGTCGACGTCGGAGCGAGGCTGCAAGCGGCGCCAGTTGTGCAGGATGATGCATGGGGTCTGGGTCTCCGCGTCCGCGCCACACACGCTGTACATCTCCCGCACCAGCAGATCGTACATGTAGCCGCTCCTCTCCTCGGCCTCGGCGAAGTCCTGGCCCTGGTGCGGAATGACGTTGATGTGCTGCAGGGACTTGAGGTAGAACAGCAGTCCCTTCATGCCGGGCTGCGGCGCCAGGCCGTGGAGTCCCCCGCGGCGACGGAGGGTCATGACCTTGAACCAGCCCGTGTCTCGGATCTCCAGACTGGTGATGGCTTCGATGCATTCCGGGTGGTCGCGGTGGAGGTCGGTCAGGACGGCAAAGTCTTGTTGGAGCTCGAGGCAGGAGAGGACGACCTGGTCCACTGCTGGGCTCAGACAGATCAGTCTTCTGGCGGCGACGGTGGGCCGAATCGCGGTGCAGACTTGTTGGAACATCAGGTAGTAGTGTCTGGAGGCGACAGATCGCGACTCTTGGTTGATGAAGAACGCGACGGGAAGCTCGGCGGGGGGAGCGGAGGCTCCGTCATAGAAGCTGGGAGTGAGGGAGACGATTCGTCGTCCGGGTAAGGTGGCTCTCCACTGCGGAATAGTCAGCGAAAATATCAAGGCAGTTGCGCATATACGATGTGCGGCATGTAGACGACTCTTGCTGCGTTAAAGGGGAGATGACTCACGATCAGACGGCGGATTTCGAGAGGAAGGCGCGGGAAGCAAGTGAACTTGTTGGATGCGAGACCATTCTCCATTGCATTTCCATCGCTGAGCGCAGAGAGCTCGGTATCGGAAATATCCTCGTAGATCGGCGGCTCGATGGCCAAAGATACCAGAGCTGAAATCAGAGTATCCGGGTTACTGACTGTGTGCGTGGCCGTGTCGGCAGGTGGTGGAGAGTTCTAAACCTATCAGTGATAGCCCCTCCGCAACGAGGAATCTTGTTTCTCGATTCTTACCTCTGGCCTCGAATCAGCGGCGGTATCTGCTGCCGTGGCGGCGGGCTTCCATTTATTCAGAGTGTATCGCTGGATGGTTTGGACAATGCGCTTGAATTGATCTTGATGGGTTCCAGACTCCGAGCGCCGACGGAGTCGGGTGCTCCAAGTTCGGAATGGCTGGCGCGCCATCACGATGTTTGTTTGTTGTCCGACTTGAGGTTGACAAGATCGAAAGGTAACCAACCGGTCGTCGATGTGAAATACCCAAAGCTTCAGATAAAAGCTCGGTTAAGTTAACTCTAGTTTGGGAGATCAGGTGCTCTGTTCCTTCCTCTTTTATTTACCACGTGATTTTTCACTAAAATATGAAACAGCTAAATCCTAGAGCGGACATTGCAAAGATGAAAGGTATAAGGTTTTTGGATATTTAGAAACAAAGAAAAGATTAGGTTTAATTCTTTCAGCGCTCTCTCAGTGCTTTATATCAGTTCAGATCATCTATTACTCTTGAGCACACCCTTGATAGTTCTTATGCTCCAGGTTTTCTATCCATAACCTTAGTCAAGGCCTGGACTTGTATCGACAAAAATTACTTTTATAGTCACTTAGTTATGCTGGCTTCTAGACGTAATATCAAAGACCTCTTTTCTTTGGCCACTTTAAAATGCAAGGGTTTATGAGTAAATGTTGGAGCCTTGGCGGCGTGACGCGGCCGCTACCAGATATTAGGTAGGAGCAGCGTCGTTTGCAAAACTTCAAGTTATCAATCAACCTTACAACAAGGGAGTTTTTCGATCGCTGCACGAAAATTCAACTGGAGAATTTAAAAACACACAACTTTGACTTCTCATACCTACAGACGATCACCCACGACAAGATCGAGATTCTCTCACGGTCTTACTATGGCCACCACAAGCACGAAGGTGTCAGTTAGCGCGGGTTATACTACGGAGAAGGTACAGACAGAGCAACAGGATACCGTCCCAGCGCCGGAGTCCAGCATAGACAGCATATCTGAGGCTCTCCAACTGCTCGAGCTCGAGCTGCCAGACTTCGAGGAAGAGCTCGTTACACAAGTTCGTAGCCTGCCGCTAGATACTTTCACCTGTTTCCCAAAGCTTGGGATCGAGCTACGATACATGATCGTAAGTGTTCTCTGTACTGCACATCAGTTTAGAGAACATGTAGTATCAAAGCACTCAAGGCTGACTACCTGATTCGAAGTGGAAATTGACCTTCCCTGGACGTCGCTGCATCAGCCTCTCGCATGTTAAACATTACCTCAAAGTCCCGATCGGTCCAAAGCTGCCCACCAGTCTACACATCAATCGAGAGAGTCGAAGCTACACCTTGGAGACCTTCCACCTCTTATGGCTCAAGATGCATCGGACGGGTAGTAAACGTTTGTTTTCCAGGCTGATATGCATGAACCCAGCTTTGGATTTGGTGCACGTCGATTTCATCTCGATACAAGGCCGATACCGTCTGCACCGTCTACGTGAGCTGTTTCAAAAATACCCCGAGTCCATCGCCGCTATTCGCAGTCTCGAGATCAGAGAAATAATTCACCCGGCCTTTCTACGCGACATGAAGTACGATGATGAATCCGATTATATCTGGGAAGATCCGCGTCCTAATAGCCCGATGCAGTGGTTCAAGGGTCTGCGGAATATCCACTTGGTTGCTGATTGGCGTATTTCCCCAACATGCAAGTGGTACTCAGCCTTGGTTTACAAAATTTTCATCCGCGAGGTAAAGCTCACCAGGATCGGTACCAAGTATTCGGAGCTTCCCAACCCAGCTCTAGTCATCCACCAATGGCGACGCCTAGAAGTGAGGTCCGACTACGACAATCTTCACGACGCCGCCCTCCCTGATCCCTGGCCAAAGGAGCAGATTGCTATCTTCGTGGACAAGAGTATCAGCAAGATACAAAACCGATCCGAGGAAGCTTCCAGCCGCGCGGGAACCGGTGACCGAAATGGCGGAGGACGATAATGCCTGCCAGCAGCGAGCACAAACTTCTGCGACCTCTTCATCCCAGCTAAGGAAGAGTCCTCAAAGCCCAAAGTTGTCAACCTAACAGATGCACCCGCGAATTGCAAGCGTTATGAACCCCCTCTCCCCAGCACCAGAGCGCCATTCTCTTCGACCATAATGGAACCCAATCCCACCCAAAACACTAGCTCCTCGCCTCAAAACCATCCCATTCCAGCAAAGAAATATCTCTTCAAGATCCCGGGACGCCTCTCCTCTCTAAGGATCAAGCATACAAGACATTTGTACGATACGAACCCACTACAAAGTCTTTCCTCCTCCCAAGCTCGCGCAGAAAGGGGGAAGGAAGTCAGTAATCCGAGCTGTATGTACATGAAAAAAAAAAAAAATGAAAAAAAAGAAAAAAAAATTAAGCACACCACAAGCAATCAAAAGCGCCCTCACTCCCTACCACTAACCTCCCAAGTGCCACAAAAACGTAAAGGGTAAGCTCCCTAGACTAGAGAGCCGTTGCTACATAGGTACATATCGCTAAGCAGCCACCCCAAAAGCGCTACACGCTACATACATACCCTCCCGTCCACGGCCCTCCTCTGAAAACACCACGTTAACTTAACTATTCAGCTAATGAGCCCACAGACTAACTGAAATCTACAAAGTCTGTTCAGTCCTAGTGCTAGCTAGTGCTAGTGCTATCACTCACTCACGCACTCACTTGGCACGCACGCACTCACTCACTCACTCACTCACTCACTCATATACCCTCTAACATCTAACATCTAACATCTAACAAAACACCACGGTTAGTACCAACAAGACGGATTAAGAAACACGAAAGCAAGCAAGTAGGCAGGCAGGCGGGCGAGAGAAGAGAGAGAGAGAGAGAGAAAGAGTATCGTACATACAGATTTACAACAAAATACCAATAACTAAACACCTCGCTCCCTCCCAAACTTTTAGTCGCAGTGACCAAGATTTATGATACAACGGCCCGCCCTTGAACCCCCCCCCCCCCCCCCCCCCCCAATATCCCATTCCCACCCCTATTCCATTTCTACTTTTCTCTTCTCTGTCTCTTCATTTACTCCCGTGCATAACGGATGAAAAGTACACACCACCTCTCTATCCTTCGTCTCCGTCAACTTTATTTCGCCCGCTCCCAATTCAGAAAGCAAAAAGTACCCGGGTATCACTTCAAAAGCCTCTTCTTCCTTCCCCTCCCTCTAATCTTCGTCAAGTATCGCTCATCCAACCTCTGTCAACAATCCAGGCCCATGTACATCTCAAAATGCATCGTCAGATCCCCTCAGAGAGGAAGGATTTCACGAAGCCTTATCGCTCATAACATCGACATACCCGCGCCCCTTCTTCTTCGCTCCCTTCGCCCCCGCCTTCCGGGGCATAGCCGGACCGAGCAGATCGTCGATGCTGCTCGCGTTGCTCATACCCGTGCCCGGTCGACTGGGCGGCGCACTTGGTGGCCTGCTAGTTCTCAGATTACCGTTAGACTGCGAACGATTCATGAGAGGTGCTGCGTTGAGGCTACCGCCACCGTCGTCGCTTTGCGGGGAGGGTGGGAGGCCCATATGTGTGAAATCGCTGACGGCTCTCTGCGCCAGCATTTGGGGTGCGCCGCCGATAGGCATAGGGCGAGGTGCGCTGGTAGAAGGGCCAGCTGCTGGGTTTGTCGAATCCTGTGAAGGTTGCATGGGTGCGGATGCTGTGCGGGGCGGTCCTGCTGCTTTGGGAGGTGGTGGAGTAGCGCTCCTGGCTTGCATGTCTTCAGCACCGCCTTTCTTATTGATCCAGCGCTTGAGCTCGGGGTCATAGTAGAAGGATGAGGCTTCGCCGAGCTTTGCTTTGATAGGTTTGTTGGGCGCTGCACCCATGTCTTGGGATTCTTTCTTGCCTCCGCCACCGAACCAGCCGCCGCCGAAACCCCAGCCCCTCTTTACCGGTGCTGCTTCTTTGTCTTTTTGTGCTGGCGAGGTGTTAGTGTGAGTAGTACTAGGGGAGAAGAGTTGCTCACCATCTGCTTCAGCAGCCTTCCGGAAGGCCTCGTCGGCTTCCCTATCTTTCTCTGCCTTGGTCTTTTCTCTAGAGGCAGGAACTGCCTGGAGCCCTGGTATGTCATCTTCATCATCGTCCATGAATGACTTCTTCTTTGGCTTAGCCTCTACTGGGGAATCAGGCTCGTCGTTGGGCTCGTATGGAACATAGCCGCTCGACGGAGGTTCATAAACACTACCTTGAGGCTCCCACGAAGGCGCTTCATAGCCATTTGACGCGGTCGGCTCAGAGTCTCGGGAAGGCGGATCAAAGTTGTTTAGAGCCGGAGAATCAGAGCTCGAAGCGGGTTGCTGTAAAGAGGAAGGTTTAGATGTAGTGTATGGAGAGGGCTGCTGACCATCGAAGGAGCTCAAAGGTTGATGTGGGCCGTTGGTATTCGGAGGGGGCTGTTCGGTGACCGGGGTTTGTGAGGCAAAGGTAGGTGAAGGTTCATAAGAGGACCCAGAGTTGCCAAAAGGCGTGTAGCTAGAAGAGTTCTGGGGCGCGTAGCTATTACCTTGGTTGCTAGGCTGACGACTGACAGTCTGGCTGACAGGCGTGTACATCTCTCTTTGAGGCTCATATCTACGAAATTCACCCGACGGTCTTTCATCCAGCGATGTTCGAGGCTGAGAGCCGTATGATGGACCAGACGACATATCGTGATTCCCGTAAGAAGAAGGCCCAGGTGCATATCTTGAACTTGCTTTGGTGGTTGGCGCAGGAACACTACCATTAATGCCAATGCCGCTGTTCTGTGCGCCATACATATCAGCGACTGATGGAACCCTGCTCATGATTGGCGTGCCACCTGCGATTCTCGAAAATGGCCCAATGTCTGGTGCGTTGGTGGCACTCGATACAGACGCAGAGGCATCGGCTTCATCGCCTGCAACAAACTTGTTGAACGTAGCCCAGACGGAACCCTTGGCTTTGTCCATGCTCGGTTTGGAGATCCATGAAGATGTCTCGTCCTTGGGCGACTGCTTCAAGCGTTTGCTCAAGTCGTCAACTCCGCTTACCAAGAAAGCATGGTAATATGGCGATCTCCTGGTCTGAGAGGTGATAGAGGCGGTGATGGCGTCGCAATACTGTAAGGCCTTGTCTCTGAAACCATACTCTGCAAGGATTTTGGCATGTTGTAGCTTGTATATCGCAAGATGAGGGCTAGATATTGCGATGGTCGAGTTGCTTGACAACGAAGTTCCGTATTCAAAAACCTCGCTAAGCAGAACTGGCTCCAACTCTCGATCAAAGTCATGTGGTTGTCTCAGATGATCAGATCCAACAAGCACGATGCTTGCTTGAGGATCATCAATACCCCCAAAGATGGAAAGGTTTCGGGCAAAGAGGAAGCAAATGTGGGCTGCTTCTGCTCTACCATAACCAGAGAGGAGTTTGCCCATAGCGTTGAGCGCTTGGCTATCATCTGCGCTTCGATTGCTCAGCACAAGTCCAAGTGTTTCTCGCCATCTGTCTAGACCATCCGTAGCATCTTTTGAAGGTCCTATAGCATTTGATGTGCTGACCATCTGGAAGCCAGCTCGGGCAGAAGGCGGTACAAGCTCATCAATACTCTCTTCAAAGTTGCCTGCAAAGATCTCGTACAAAGCTGCAAGCGGCTCGACATTATCTCCGATGATCTTCACTTCCTTCTGAATAAACTCTTGGGCAACTCGCTTGTACAGATCTTTTGATACCGTGTTCGAGATGAGCATAGCGTGAGCCCAGAGCCGTTTGTCGACAGCATCCCATACAGCTTTCTCGCGATCACCGCGTAGCAAGTGCTTTCTCAGCTGATCGACGGCTGCAGGGTCTACAGGGTCGGCTCTTGTCGCTGTGTTTATCGACGGCTGAATGCCAGAGAGCTCTGCGCCAGTGGCATACAGCGGAGCAGAAGTTCCTTGCTCATCAAGTCCTGGCGACAAAACAGATCGAACAGCCTTGTCTACAACTGCGTTGCCTTCCAGTGTGCCATCATGCTCAATGAAAACCCGGAGGATCTTCCAGAGAAGTATCCGCTCCTCAATACGCTTATCTTCATGGGAAAGCGTCTGCACTGTTCGCAGGTAAGATGCATTTTGCTCCAGAAAATCAATGCCGGAAGTCAGCCACGCCAAGACATCCTTCTTCTTTGACTTGCCCTTCAGTGGCCCTGGGAAGCTAGTGAGACGTTCTTGAAGAGGATCGATATCCTTAATGCTTCTAATCTTAACTGTCCCCGGACTACGGATGATCATAGCTTGGGCGTTCATGCCATATCGGGGAATGTCTTGAGGAAGTGAGGTGATGATGGTACCGCCAACGCCCCAAGCGAAGACAGGCGCACCCCTCCACCTCTGCAACGGATCGTTCTCTCGACCATCTGTGGGGGTGACATAGGGAAGACCCGCGGAAAACTCTCTCGGGCGTCCAGCTGAAGCCACAGCCGACATCGACTGATAGCTGTTATTGGCTCTTGGTGAGGGTGGTACCTCGACAGAAGCCGGACGTTGATATGGGGCAGTAGCAGTCATTTCAGGTCTTGGGCCAGCAAGTCCAGTACCTGGAGACTGAGTTTGAGATCTCTTAGGGGGCAAAAACGGTTGAGGTGGTCCATGGCCAGCTGGCTGAGGCTGATAGTTGGACGTCGCTCGCTTTGATGGGGAGCTTACAAGTCTGGAAGCAAGTCCATGAGGAGGTGGAGGAGTCGATGTCTGACGTGCCACAGGAGGCTGCGCCTGCTGGCCATATTGGTTCTGCAACTCGCCATAATTCCTCTGTGATGTTGGAGAGAATTGACTACTCTCCTCGACCTCCCTGGTAGGTGGCAATTGTTGAGATCTTGTACTAGACTCATAACCAGAGTAACTGGTCCTTCTACTCAAATTTGCTGCCTCAGAAGAGGAGCTGTGGGATCGTGCCTCATGATTTCGTTCGAAATGAGCCAATGGACTTGAAGTCCGAGGTTGGTGTGCAAGGACAGGAACTGGCTGTGGAGGCTGAGCGCTGACTGGAGGAACTGACGCATATGATCCGGATCTCTGACCGGGAGGGGCAGGTGAGTATCGCGACGGAGCAGCTGGAGGCGGGGCTGTTTGGCTGTGCTGTAGTGGTGGAGGTGCCGGAGAATATCGCGAGGAAATGGCTGGCATGGGTGCGTTTCCAGCCGGTAAAGGAGCGTAGGGGCTGACCCTTGCCGGAGTAACCAGTCCTTGTGTCTGTAGCGGAGGTTGTGCGAGGTGTTGTTGGGCAGGCTGTGGTTGATTCGGAGGTTGCTGAGTAGGCGGAGGAGCATACGGGGATCGCCCTGTGCCCATTGGAGGTACAGCACCTGGGTGCCCATAAGGACCCAAGGCAGGGGACGCAAGCCCGCTCGTATGTCTTGAGGTTGGCTTCGGTCGGGACATGGGCAATTCCTCGAAAAACCCGCTTTGGGTTTTCTTGACAGTCGGGGGTAAAGGGGGTTGGGGTTGCTGAGCGATTCCTGGGGGTAGCTGGCTTTGCTGGGCATGGCTACTTGTAGGGGGTGGTAGGCTTGAAGAAGGGCCACGAGGTAACGTGTGATACATACTGCTACTCCTTGGAGGTGCCATGTCTGCAGGAGTTTGGGGAGTTCGATTCATTTGTTGCGTACTTACTCTCTTTCGAGGCTTCACAACATCCATCGGGAGATCATAAGGTGATGCATATCCTCCTTTCGCCTTGTCAGAAAAACTTTGCGCCTTTGAAATTTCCGGTCTTGCAGGCATAGATTGAAAGTTTGAGATTGATGGCGACATATAAGGGGACGGTACTCCAGTTGGACCTTTTGGCTGGGAAAGATCTGTCAGTAGAGGCGCAACAGGAGCGTATGAGTTCCTCGAAACTAGAGCTGGAGCTGTAGTGGCTCCTGCAGGGATGTACTGATTACTGCTGCTAGAAGAGCGCTGTGCAGTTCCAGTGAGACTGCCAGCCATGTGACCATTAAATCCTGGTGCTGGAAGAGGGGGGTTCGCCTTCTGTGAAACCACGGCATTCGTAGTCTCATCGTTATCATCCAAAAACCCTTCATCGTCACTCCCGAAAATTGCCGCCGGGTCAAAGCCCGCGGTTTCCGTCGGCTCATCATCATCAGGCAAAAGTTCATCGTCGTCGTCGGCCAGGAATTCATCACCAGCCAAGGCTGCTTCCCACTTCGCTGCAAGATCTCCTTCATCCGCATCCAGTGGCTCCGACTGATCATGAGTGACGGCTTCAGTGTCACCAAGTCCGGGTGAGAGAACCGTGCTTGATAAGGCAGCAACTCCCCCGCCAGTAGATGGTTCCACTGAAACATTGGAGCTCTCGATAGCACCTTCTTCCGCAATAGCCTGGTGAGTTTGCGCATGGGTCTGATAATGCAAAGAATCTAGAACTTGCGTTGTGGATTTTCTCTCCAGAGGCGGTGGAACTATCGACGCTTCTGCTTCGTTGTTCACTTTATTAACTTGGGCGAAAAAGTCCTCCTCGTTCGCATCGGCTGTTGCAAAGGGATCACTCGTGATTGACGACTGGGTTGGCATGTACTCATTCTCGTGTTGGACCAAGGGAAGGCCTTCTGCGAAGCGAGCTTCGGCATCTTGGTCTTCTTCCGGCCTGACGTTTCCCCCATAAGTCTGCCCATAATCTGGTAACTGTAGCTCACTGTCGTCCACTTCTTCATGTTGCGTAAAGTACTGGAAGCCCTCTGGTTTTGTGGGACTATGGACGGAAGGCTCGGTCACAGGGACATTTTCCTTCTCTTGAAATAGATCCTCGGCTAACTCCTGCTCAACCCCATTCATAATATCCTCGGCCTGGCTGTGGGCCAGCTGCTGTCCGTAAGAATTGAAACCCGTCGATGGTGCCGGTGGCACCGCAGGGAACGAGTTTGTCCTGTCTGTTTGGACCATCGATTTGAAAGGGTCGTTGTCCGGGCTCTGCATGTTCCATTGCGAATCGACATCATCCTCCTCTCCCCAACCGACCTCTTCCGAAACTGTTCTCGCGAAAGACAGCGTGCTCATACGCTTACTCGCATCGTGAGGTCCATTCGAAGGGAAGTCGCCTCTCTCCTGATCCATGGTCGGCGTCTCCTCGGCGCTCTGGTGCCACAAGTTCTCGTCCAGCTCTACGCCCCCCGGGCTGGCCAGCGACGTGGTGAGCGCATCTCGCAAGTCCCCAAGCTCCGGATGGGCATCATTTCCCTGTGTCTCCTCATCTACGTTTCCCGTCCCGTCAGCACCTTGGACTTCGTCGGTAAATGACGCAGGCGCAGGCGCGTCGGACTCGTACTCGAGACTGGGGTCCGGTGCTGGTTGCGGACTCGAGTCTAGGGATTCGGGGGCATTCAGTGCGGCTGCCTCTGCGGTTGAGTTGGGCATAAAGGCAGGATGCCATGATGCCTGGGATGCGGGCTCCATTGCGGTGGTTGTATGTGGTGCGCAAAGAAACTGAATACTGGAAGTCGGAATGTCATGTCAGCCAGCTGTCCGTCTCCCATGTCTCGTAGAGTACCGGTAGGTATCGCATCGTCGTAGCTGAAGAAAGGGAAGGGACGAAACGGAACCGAACGTACTTGTACAAGGATTTCAGTGAAAGAAGTTATCAAATGATGTGTTGGGCGGCGAAGGCATTGAAATCTGCTATAGTGAAGGGAAATTCATGGTTTGAGGTTGGTGAGATATGGTTCTGGATCGGGTTGAGTTGGGTTAGGTTGGGTTGGGTCGGGTAAGGTGGTGGTCGACGGCAGCCTTCCCTTTCCGATGGGGGTAAATCTGGTAATCTGGCTTGAGTATGGCGGGCCGGCATTGACTGAAACCCCGTAAGCCCACCCACCAGGTACCGGTACTTATACTTTGGAAATGAAGAAGAACAGAATAGTCCTATAGTGCAGTGTGCAGTGCCCACCAATGGAATGTGTAACGAACTGATAGATGATTTTGATCTCCGGGGAGAGATTGGGCTTTGGGTATATTCCAAAAACACCCGGCTCTGGCACTTATATATCCATCCATTGCTTTCCTCGCTTTGACAAAGGGGAACAATAAAACAAAACAAAACATGAGCTCGGACTACGGTGGACCGGATCCACCTCTCGGCCAGAATCAACGTGCGGACTAGACGGACTGGACGGACTGGACGGACTGGATGACCGCAAGGCTGCAACCAAAGTACGAAAGTATACGAACACGGAATACATATCCCATCTGTACCTACATATTGATCCAAACCGCAACAACCAAAGACGACAACCACAACCTCTTGCCACTGGACCCTACCGTACACTCCACGTCCACCGCATCAATGAGGCATGTCGTCGAGTGCATATCAACAACCAAATGCTCCCGATTCGCCCGCGGATGATTCGGACTCAGACCTCGATCTCGACCTCCAGGAGCTTGACCCCATTACCACAGCCAGTCCCTCGTCCCGCAAAGACCATCCCAAGGAAGAGCGCAGGACCGGTCACATACCTATACCCTTACGGAATCTGCGTATGAGTGGGCTGCGAGGGGCCGGGAAACGCAATCGAGGCTACGGGGACTTGGGACGGGACAGAGATGCGAATACAGAGGACCTGCACGGCCTGCTGAACGAAAGCCCGGATCTGGATGGAGCAAACAGACTATCAGCCGGCAGCTCGCGCTCTGCTGAGGATGATGCACCGCTCTTGCCCGGGCCCAAGGGCAGCCATAGACGGCAGCCGAGTTTGGATGCCCTCAACAAGCTAGGCTCACACATCCGCCTCCCCAGCTTCCTCTCGAACGCGGGCTCTCAATCACCCCCAGAAAACAATGATACGGAAGAAGAGGAACACGATCCGGCATCTTCACGGACAGTCTTTGTCGGTACCGCTCAATCCGCGCGTTTTACGCCTAATGCCATCTCCAATGCGAAATATACCCCCATCAGTTTCTTGCCGCGCACTTTGTATAACGAGTTCTCTTTCTTCTTCAATATGTACTTTCTGCTCGTGGCGCTTTCGCAGGCTATTCCAGCGCTGAGGATAGGATACCTATCGACGTATATTGTGCCGCTGGTATTTGTTATGTCGATTACACTGGGTAAGGAGGCACTCGATGATATTGGACGGAGAAAGAGGGATGCGGAAGCCAACTCCGAAGGTTACACGGTATTGTGCTTCGATGAGCCCGGGGTGGGGAATAAGGATCGCTATCGGGCGAAGAAGTCGAAGAAGGCGAATTTGAAGTCTAGAGGTCGATCGCTCGTCGAACGGGACAGGCTGTCCGATATCCAGGAGGAAGAAGAGAATGGGGAAGGCCCGAGAGACCGCCACTTGCCGTCCTCGGAGGTGCGGGAAGTGATCAAGAAGTCGAGGGATTTGAAGGTTGGTGATGTGTTGAAGATGGGCAAGGATCAGCGACTACCGGCGGATGTGGTTATCTTGAAAAGTTTCATGAATGAGGCTGTAGTAGTCGAAGATGGCCTGCCTGCGGCTCCTGAATCACTGCTTGTATCGCCGGTATCAGACCCGGCAATTGAGCAGACCAGCGCCACTACAGCTGATGCTCGCGAGTCAACATCAGAACTGGGAAATACCCCTTCTGCTGATGCGGGAGGTGTTGGAGAAACATTCATCAGAACCGATCAGCTTGATGGAGAAACCGATTGGAAGCTTCGATTGGGATCTCCTCTCACTCAGTCGCTGGACCCGGCTGAATTCGTACGGCTCCGGGTTGTGGCTAGCAAGCCAGACAGGAAAGTTAACGAATTCATTGGTACAGTCCAACTACTTCCCAAAGACAGAGGAGGCTATGATCCGTACCTTCCGAGATCATCCCCCATGGGCAATGAGATCGTGAACTCCACCTCGGCTCCTCTAACAATTGACAATACAGCGTGGTGCAACACCGTGCTAGCATCAAACGCCACAACACTAGCTGTCGTCGTCTACACTGGACGCGAAACTAGATCCGCTCTTTCAACTTCTCAATCCCGCTCGAAAACAGGTCTCCTCGAGTATGAGATAAACTCGCTCACCAAGATTCTGTGTGGTTTAACTCTCTCGCTTTCCATCATCCTGGTGGCGTTGGAAGGATTCGAGCATGTCGACGGCGTCAAGTGGTATGTCAAGATCATGAGGTTCTTGGTTCTTTTTTCGACAATCGTCCCTATCAGTCTTCGTGTAAACTTAGATATGGGCAAGAGTGTCTACTCAAGGTTCATCCAACGGGATGCCGGAATTGAAGGTGCTGTCGTCAGAACCAGTACTATCCCTGAAGAGCTGGGTCGTATCGAGTACCTGCTAAGCGACAAGACTGGTACACTGACACAGAACGAGATGGAGATGAAGAAAATCCATGTTGGAACTGTTTCCTACGCCAATGAAGCTATGGACGAGGTGACGGCATACATCAAGCAGGGCTTTTCGGTTCCCGTTTCCGCGGATCCAAATAACCCTGCATTGCTCATCACACCCTCATCTACCTTCATGGCCTCAACGACTGCCACAGCCACTCGAACGCGCAGAGAGATCGGATCCCGAGTCAGAGACGTTGTTCTGGCTTTGGCTATATGCCACAGTGTCACCCCGACTGTTGAAGAGGACGAGGCAGGCGAACAATTTACCTCTTACCAAGCCTCCTCGCCTGATGAAATTGCAATCGTAAAGTGGACTGAAATGGTTGGTCTTCGCTTGATTCATCGGGATCGGAAGGGGATGCTCCTCCAGTCTGTGGACACTGGACGTCCTGTCGTCAGAGTCCGAATCCTCGAGGCATTCCCTTTCACATCCGAAGGCAAGAGAATGGGCATTATTGTCCAGTTCATGGATGGATCGGAGAAACCAGGCAACGTCGACCCTGAAGCTGGTGAGATTTGGTTCTACCAAAAGGGTGCTGATACCGTTATGACTTCCATCGTCGCTGCAAATGATTGGCTTGACGAAGAGACTGGTAATATGGCCCGGGAAGGGCTGCGGACACTTGTCGTTGGCCGAAAGCGCTTGTCGGTTCAACAGTACAAAGAGTTTGCTACCAACTTTAGGGACGCTTCCGTTGCCATCAACGGACGTGATGCAGGCATGGCCCGAGTTGTCGCCCACTACCTTGAACGAGACCTCGAGCTTCTTGGCGTCACGGGTGTCGAGGATAAACTCCAAAAAGACGTCAAGCCCTCGCTGGAATTACTTCGCAACGCCGGCATTAAAATTTGGATGCTCACGGGTGACAAGGTCGAAACTGCCCGCTGCGTTGCTGTCTCTGCCAAGCTCGTCGCCCGTGGCCAATACATCCACACAATCACCAAGCTCAAACGCAAAGACAACGCGCAGGACCAGCTTGACTTTCTACGCGGTAAAACCGACTCCGCCCTTCTCATCGACGGCGAATCCATTTCCCTCCTCCTCACTCACTTCCGCACCGACTTCATCTCAATCGCCGTGCTCCTCCCCGCTGTCATCGCGTGCCGCTGCTCCCCGACGCAAAAAGCAGATATCGCCCACTTGATCCGCGACTTCACCAAAAAACGCATCTGCTGCATCGGTGATGGCGGTAACGACGTCAGCATGATCCAAGCTGCCGACGTGGGAGTTGGCATCGTGGGCAAGGAAGGACGACAGGCTTCCCTCGCTGCCGACTTCTCAATAACGCAATTCTGCCACCTCACCAAGCTGCTCGTTTGGCACGGCCGCAATAGCTACAAACGCTCTGCTAAATTGGCGCAATTCGTCATTCACAGAGGTCTCATCATCAGTGTGTGCCAGACTATGTACAGCATCGCCATCAAATTTGAGCCTGAAGGCCTATACAAAGACTGGCTCCTCGTTGGCTACGCAACCCTTTACACCATGGCTCCGGTGTTCTCCCTCGTGTTGGACAAAGACGTCGACGAGAACCTCGCGAACCTCTACCCAGAACTCTACAAGGAGCTCACTACGGGCTCCTCGCTATCCTACCGCACATTCTTCGTCTGGGTGTTCGTCAGTATCTACCAAGGCGGCATGATCCAAGGCCTTTCTCAAATCTTGACGGAGGTTGATGGCCCCCGGATGGTGAGTGTGAGTTTCACGGTACTGATTGTGAACGAGCTGTGCATGGTGGCGTTTGAGATCACGACGTGGCACCCGATCATGATAGCGTGTTTGGTCGGTACAGCGCTCTTGTATCTGGGCAGTATTCCGTTTCTAGGGGGCTACTTTGATCTGGGGTTTATCGTTACACTGTGAGTTCCTTCTCCTCTCCTTGGTGTTTATGTTCTGCTGTTGAATGATTACTAATGAGAAGAATAGCGGCTTCGTCTGGCGCGTGCTTGCTATCTCGGCCATCTCGCTCATCCCGCCTTACGCTGGTAAACTCATTAGGCGCGCAATCAAACCGCCTAGTTACCGCAAGGTGCAGGGGATTTGACCAGACCGGCCAAGGGGCATGGGCTTGTGAAAGAATTAATTTTTTTTTTCACTAGCTTAGCAGTATGGAATAGGATTGGATTGGGATCGGTATCGGGTTCGCGGCATAGCGGTTGGCGTTCTAGGTCTAGAAAATAATATTGAGCGAGCGATGAATCTACCATTGATTGAGTATTGTGAATGTCGGCGGCAGTACATACGTACTACGGATGACAAGGATGAGAAGTTACAAAAAAAAGGGGTTGACGGATGTGTTTCAATGCTGGTTTGTAATGTTGTTGCTACTTATACTAGGGCTTTGATTAACTTATGATTTATCACGTTGGTCAACTTGTCACAGAATTAAAAAAAAGTTTTTATCTTTGCGCTCATGAAAGACGTCGGCTTTACTATGCATCTCTAGCAAGGTAATTAATTAATGCCTGGTTTGGAGGTACGGCCGACGGCAGTAGATGTAAAATGTAAGCGGAGAGGTAGGTAGGGGGAAAGAAAGCGATGTGGTATAGGTATAGGTATAGGTATATACTAACCACCAGGTGTTCTTTTTCTTGGTTCTTGCCTTTACAAGTCTGCTATTACAGAACAAGTCTGGTTTCAAAGATGGACTTCTTTATGCGGTCTGGGTACCGATTGGAGCGTTTACTTAATTGGGCTCTATTTTTTTTTTTTTTTTTTCTTCTCTTTTGT